CTCAGTTAACTGCACTTCTGAGTATCACAGCTTCATTTAATAATTGAGATAAATTCATTGCAAGAAAAAGTAGCTCCTGATGAGTGATCTTTCTGTTTGAGAAGCAGTATGAAGTTTGTGTCAGATGTTTGGCTGCTTTGAAAGATATTTATTGAAAATAAAGAATGTAATATCTGATAATCAAACATAAAATACATTGTATGGCTGCTAATCCTTGCAAGGTGTGCTTGGGTATAGGTTAGAAATCAGTAACAGATTCATCCTTTCGTGTCCAGTACATATCTGGTCATTAAAGGTGCCCTGTTATTTGAGGTTATGGCTGTGCTGCATTCTGTGGCCATGCTGCCATTTCCAGGCAAAGCGTCCTGTGCAGAAGTAGGGGGCTCAGAAGAGGGACAACCTGGCAGCAGGCATTTGAATTCCCTCTTCTATGCAATGACTCTTGAGGAAACTCCAGCAACTGACTGGTCTGTTAATCAGCTGGCATCTCTAAATTCTCACCTCTTTGGAAACAGGGATGTGCTCCTTCTCTGTTTCATTGCAAAGTCAAACCGGTTAGTGTGATCAAATCAAACCAGTTAATGTGATCCAGTGAGAAGTGAATCCAGCAATTGCTACTTCCCAGCTGAGATGTTTGCTTGACTAACCTTGAGGCGAATGTGGGTGCTGGGAAAGGAGGATGGACGTCACCTGATGTGGTACCTGTGACCAGAGAACCAACTCAACCAACTTGCCCATTCTGTGGCCAGGTGTATCTTAGACTATGGAAAAACGTGTCAACCTGAGCTGTCCTTTAGGTGGAGCTCAGAATAAATTACCCAGCTAATCCCAATGAATGTCTCATTCTGGTTGATGAACTTCTTCCCCTCTGAATTTCCCCTGCAGTTTCACTTGTGTGGAGAATGTGTTTGTGTCCTATGATTTGTGCTGTGGGACTGTGTGTCATTAGGTAGTCGCTGTGCTCTCTTTCAGAGGTACCTGCCCTTTAGTTGTGGATGAAGAATTCTGCTTGTAGACACAGTGGAATGCTCCACGATCTTTGGACCAAAGGTATTATTTAAGTAATTGGTGTTTGATTGTTATTAGAAGAGCAGTTTCTGGGTATTAGAGCAAAGTGATCCTAGAATCATAGAGAAAGTCATAGTTCTTCTGAAGATCTCAGATAAAATAAAAGGATGTTACTGAAAGAGGGAATAGTAGGAAGGAATACAAAATGCATTCAGAAATCAAAAATTAGGGATACAGAGGGTTTTTTTAATGTAATAACATAATTAAACAACAAGCCCAGAATTTTTAAATGTAACTTGGAGTAAAAGATTACTCTAAAACAATGAGCAGTTGAAAAAGTGTAGTGACACTTTCTAACTGGAGAAGCACACAGGAAACACAAGTTGCCTGGGTAATGTTATGTTTTAAAAATGTGTCCCTTGTTGGATATTTATGTGGTTGTATGGCTTAGTATTTGGGTGGAGGGGATCCTAGAATTCTCTGACTTTGCCACGTTTAGGGAATTTTCTTAAGTTGTGATTTCCTTTTATAACACTTGTTCAAATCAACCTGTGTTTCCAACATGGGAGAAGGCTGGTAAATGCATTTTTAGCACAATTTCATTTAGAGGTCTCTAGAATAGCTTTTAGGTCAGCGGTGGAAAGTCTTAGTCACAGATGTCCTGTATCCAGGAGGCTCACAGCACTGCTCATGGAGCTACTCAGTGTTGCACGGCATGGACATTTTAGAAAAATTCCCTACTCAAGAAAAGTCAAAAGAGTAGGTTACTAGTTTAAGTGACCAGTTTTGTTTTGAGTTCATTGTGAAACATGGAGGAGGACAATCTTCCCATAGAAGATATGTATGTACCTGATGTAAGAAAATAAACTAATTACATGTAAGAACATGTAAGAAAGGAACATTTTGAAAGGAACTCAAGAGCAGTGAAGGAACTTAGGAGTCAAAGAGCACAGATCTGACAGTGTCTTAAAAGATAATGGCTACATACAAAAATGAAAACACGAAAAAAGAAAGCAAATTAAAACCCAGGCAAGCATGTCAGATACAAAGTTCTTGATACTTTACTGCAAGACCTTCACACTTCACTGTTCTTATTGGGTTTTCACATGCTGGATTGGGAGGAACAAGAGACAGAAAGCACAGTCCCATCTCAAAATAAGTTGCACAGGGCTTTCTGGCAATTGCCCTCAAAAGTAAAGTGAATGAAGTTGCCTCTTTTTCCCAAACATTGACCTTAGAGTTCTTTCAGGGAAGGAATCCCCTTTTACTCAGCCAAGTGGTAACTGCCTCATGACTCCTCTCAGACTAGTTTGAGCCAAACCAAAGTAGTCATGAATAGGGCCAGTAAAGTGCATGTACTCATATGGTTTCTTCTCCTTTCAGTGACTGAACTGCAGAGACAGTAAATAAAGGGTTGAGTATGACTACTGAGTGCACACTGGCATAATTTCAATTAATATACTTCTCCATTTCTCATCTCTGACATCCACACACGATTTGTAATTATGAGTCATGGGGACATCTCCAGGAATGGCTGACAAAGCCTCAAAAGGCAAGAAAGACACAGCACAGAGTTGCTAGCCTTATTTAGCAAGGGCAAATGGTTACCTCCCCCTGGACTGACCTCACATAATTCTGGATGTCAGAGATAATTTTTAAGCCCTGGATCTTCAAACCACTCCCATCTCATGAGTTATCACTGGCATCATGAAAAAGTGCCATTTCCACAGCTGGATGCAGCCAGCATGTGAACAGAAAAAGTGCACATCCATACACAGAAACACAGCACTCTGAAGTGGAGCACAGGGCTCACGCACTGGGCCACGGCCACGAAGAGGGCAGTTTGGTCTGCACCATTTGCCAGCAGCAGGACATACCCTGAAGCAAAGTCTATCTTTCCCCTCTTACCTAGTCACCTTTGGCTACTAAGGAATTCTGGGACATAGCCAGACTTTCAGAGGCCTACAGATATAAAAGAGAATTGAGGACAGAATTTGTATTGAATATGACAAAGAAATGGTGTAAGCAGCCAACATAGAGACTGTGTAATTTTCCTTCCACTCCTCATTCTTCTGGACACTGGCTTCAAGGATTTGCTTTTGCTAGTTAAAAGCATCTTGTAAAAAAGGGGAAGAGAGGCTGCTTGCAGCACTGAAGTTTTATTGGCCCGATTCATGATTCAGCAACTCTCTATAAAGCAGCTCATGTCAGAGAAGCAGCTTGTCACGCTCAGTGACCTCCCTCTGCAGGGAACATGGGGTTTGCCCCCCTGCAGACTGACACGATCCTTCTTCATGCAGCCATCCCCAACAACATGCCTTCTCCTGAAAAACAGCAGCCAGGAAGCCATGTAGCATCTTTGCAACTTCTGTCCTCAAAGCTCCAAATCCAATGAGAAAGAACAGCAAGGAGCATTATCTGGTATTTTTGCCCGGGTTTTATTTCTCTCTCACACACTTGTTTTCAGTTCCGGTTTTGGTCTTTGCTGCTGTGAGACAGTCATTGCAAAACATGCCTAGCTATAGCAGTACATTCCCTCTCCTTCACTTATGTTTCCATTTGCTAAATAGTTTTAATTTCTCCTCTTACACACCTGCACTGGATCCAAAAAATAGGGCTATATTTTTTTCTTCTTCTTTTTTTTTTTTTTTTAGTTGACTGGTAGCAAAAATTCTTATTCACAGGAGGGAAATATGACTGCTGAGAAGGAGTTTCTGTTGTTTTCAGTGGCTTGGCACAGGCAATTTTATTTAGGCAATCAGTTGTGTGATTTAATTCAGTGGGGCCCAGCCTAGGAGGAAAACCCCTTGATAAAAGTTCACCATGTAGTAGGACAGCTGGAGCAGAAAGAGAATGACCTCTGTCTACACCAGTGGATTCTGCACAAGCCTTCCCTCCTCTTCTGCTACAACAGGTGGATAACAAAGAAAATCTGTTATATCTTCTGAGACATTTGGGCTTTTCTCTCCCCTTTCCTCAGAAAAGGCAAGATGAACCTGGTCTTGAAAAAAATATCATTTACAGTTTTGTACATTACAGTACACACACAAAAAGCAGGTCTGTGGACTGAGGGGAATTCTGTATTAAACAGACGAGACTCTTGCTCCCAGAGACCTGGGGTAAAGGTAAAGACCAAAGTGTACCAGCTTAAAATAAAACATGACAAAAAATGGGAAACCATCAGGAAGCTGTACTACCAGTCAGGACAGCAGACAGCAATCGTACTGGTTTTAAGTAGTCCGAGAGCTGAAAAGTTTTTACATCTGCTCCAGCAAAAGAGAATTACCTGGAGCTGTTTAAAGGAGGAGAGTAAAGGACCTTGGCAGGGATGGTGTGGAGGCTTCTCCCAGATATATGGAAAAGGCACAGGAAAAACACAAAGGTGCTGCTAAAATGCAAACCAGCAACACAGGCCAGTCAGATGCAGGTGCCATTCTCTCACCAGCGCATGGGAATGGCATTTGGCTGTTCACCAAGATTTTAGGCCCCTATACCACATGAACCCAAGCACCCATAGAATTGTTTTGCTTATGAGATGAGTCACAGAGGTTTTTTCTTTTTTTTTTCTAAACGATACTAGTTTTTCTTGACCAAAAATTATGTGCTGTTTAGCCTCAACTCTTTAAACTATGTAGGATTTCTCTCCGTTATCTTTTACTGCCGTGAAGGATAGGTTCCTGTCACAAAACTGAAGGTCACACACTTCATTGCTTCTGGTAGCTGACATCATCATGCTGTCTCACCCACCTCCTACTTCTGTGTCACCCTCTCCTCCCCCTCTATTTTCAATTCCCCCATCTTCTTCCCCACACTGCCTGGCCAAGCATGCTCCCCATTCCTCTTTCCTCCGTATCAAGTGTTTTGTGTCCTTGTCCTGTGCTTCGCACGCTGGGGGCTCTGTGTTCCTCCCATGGAGTACCCTGTCTGCAGTAATCTTGCACCACATCACCTTCTCTGTGAACCAGATTTCTGTCATGGCATGCTTCTTGTTGCTAAAGGCTGTGAAGCACGCTGAAGTCTTTGCACCAGTCCATGGGAAAAGGTGAGATTAATTTTCCCAATAGTCTGTCTCTTGCTAAAACTTCTTGCTTTACCACTTATTTGGGAGTAAGTACTGGAGAAAGTACTGGAGTGTTTTCAACCTCTAACACATTTCTTTCATTCTTCCTCCTTACAGCGTCATGGAGGGCTGCATATTCTTCCTTTATGGTATGATACTTCTCCCAGGTAAAAGGCACATTTTTAATGGTAAAAATTGTTTTGGTTATTTGTGCTCTGCTATGTGATACTTTCTCATCCACTAAGAAGCTCATTTCTTAGTAGTCATTAATCATTTCCATTGCATAATCAAGATCCTATAGCCTATGTGACATGTATTTAAACTGTGTGCAGGAACTCTATAAAATATATAGTAAGTACTTTCTCTCTTCCATTATATATCTTTACATTGCACGTATTTTATGTTGCTCTTAAATTTTCAGTTTAAATCTGTCTTTAAAATGTGCATCTATCACCTCTGTATATTATAGAGGAGAGCAGTATTAAACTGAAAACTGACAGTTTGATATGGGACAACTGGAGTTTTCAGCAGCCGTGGAGATCATTTTGCAGTCTGGTGCTCTGGAGGAGCAGTCAAAACTTTGCCCAGGAGACAGACTGTAAATCTCCTCCTCCATTTGAACACAGCAGAGGTGTTTGTGTCTCCTGAGACAGAGGACTGCATTTCTCCTTCCAAGAAAAGCCTGTCCTCCCAGCCCATCATCCCCCCCGTAATAATGGCTACATGCAATGATGAAAGGGGGAGAAAAATCATCCCTTGTGTAATACAGTTCATGCTTTCTTTGCATGAAGGCATAATTGTATTTATTGACTATTTCTGTTAACAAGATCAGCAGCAGAACAGTTACGTTTGACATTTAATCTGTCATTAAACTCCAGATTAATTACAGAACAGTTAAATCTGACATTTAATTTGTCATTAAACTTTAGATTAATTCTTCAGTGAGACTGAAAGTATTCACCTGTTTCGGACCTTCTGGTCACATATTCCCTAGACAACAACATTTACCACACAGTGTGCACTTTACATTTTATTAGGAGGATGAACTCAACTTTTTAAAAAGAAATTGTACAACTATCTCCTCTATGGCAGAATCTCACTGCACTCAGGATGCTACACACGAGAATGGTTTGGACCTTTTGCCTCTATATAAGTCCTCTAAAATACAGACACTCACAACCTCACAAGCTTCCTCTCAAGGAAAGTAACAAATAAGAAAATAAGAAACATTTTTATGACCTGAACTCCACAAGACTAAGTGAGTCAGTTTGAAGAACTATGAGTTCTGTCTAAATGCCGGCGTTTTTATCGCTACCGTCGTTAAGCGTTGCCCCTGTGAGTGCAAATACTTGGTGTTCTTTTGTGGCTGATGGAAATCTTAATTTCTTCTCTCTCTTTGTCGAAGGTATTGCTGCCAGTGTGCATCAGGTGAAGGCATTTCTCAATCACACTGCATACCTATCCTGCTATTTTCCAAACTCTCAGAAAACTGACATAAACGATTTAAGAGTTTTTTGGCAAAAAGGTGCTGTGGAAGTGGTGCATGAAGTGTACTATGGCCAAGAAAAACATGACAACCTTAGTCCTCAATATATAAACCGCACCAAGATGGATATGGGTAAATGGACCTTGCAATTGTTGAATGCAGGAATTGTGGACGAGGGAGAGTATACATGTATTATACAGCACAGAGATAGAGGATCACCAAAGGTCATACACACATCTGAGTGCTTACTGCACATCATTGGTAAGTAATCTAATTGTCCTCCGGTCTGGGGGCTTTTGGGGTGTTCTCTGTCACTTGGTTCTCTGTACCAGAAATATGTGGTACTGTCCCTGTCCCCAAGCCACTGTAGATGTACTTGCACTTGAGCAGAATTTCTAAAGATGGAGAAGAGTGTTCTCAACAGCAGATTGTCAGCTCTGAATAAAAAAGTACTCAGGCGGAAGCAATCAGAAGAAGTAGAAAATGAGACAATAATTTGCTCAATATTGCATCATTCCAGATTCCCACCTTGTCATACTTTATAGTGAAAACCATTCTGTTTTCTTCCTCTTGCCTCCTGCAAGTTTTGTGGCTTTTAGGACTTTGGAAAATACACTTCTTTATTTGCATCTGATGTATTACCTTCTATTAAAAGTAGCAGTAGTTATAACTGTTAGTGATAAATTACAAGTTAACATCACAAGATTTCTGCAAACACTCAGCTATGTTATGATCATATAAATCTCAGGGAAAATAAAGAAAAAGAGCAGCTCATATGTGGAGGAGTAGAAATTCATATGTTCAGTTAAAGGAAGACTGAAAATATCCTTGAAGAAAAAATGCATGCATTGCTGAGATTCCACCTGTTTTCTTGCATGTTATCAGAGGAAAAAGCAGCAAATCTTTTAACAGGGGAGTGGAAATGAGGAAGCAACCGTTTCCTAATATTTTCTAATATTTTTAGTAATTCCTAATATTTTTTCCTAATGTTTTTCTGTTTTAAACTGTTCTGTTAGCAACCTTTGTCCGTATGCCCGTGTCCTCTCTTCCACTATGTAAATGCTAGTCATTAATAATAACAGCTTCTTACTTCCACTGGTGTTTTAAGGCTTCAGCATACTGCTTCCAAAGAGAACAGGCCATGTGTAACAGCAGCCAAAAACAGAGTACCAGGACATCTGAGTCTGCTTAGCTTTGTGCTACTAGCAAGTGTTCCCTCAGTCCACAGATAGAAAACCTAGACTGTTAATCTTGATTGTCCCAGAAACTACCTGACAAGTATTTTCAGCAAAGTTTTAGAACTCAGAAACCCATAAAGTGCACTCAATATCAAGGCCTCCAATTTTAGAGATGCTTAGCATCAACCATTCAGTTAACTCAAACATTTAAATCAGCTTAGCCAACATCTGAGCAACATGTTATAGAAGTCTCATACTTAGACACAAAAACTCTCCCAGACCTTTTAAGGTTTAACTTAGGAAGACTGTTTTAAACTATTTGCTACTGTGTTCCTTCCAAATGACTTTCTGTTCAATAAGCTCCCAAAGGAAGGAGCAGTATAAAAACATATTTTAAGAAAAACCTTAAAAATAAATAGAAGAAAAACACAAATGTTGAAATGTACCTGTGCTTACCTACTGTTCCTTAATTATAATCTCATATCATAGACGGAGGGTTTTTTGCAGCATGGTGTGTCACACTTCAAATGGATATCAGAAAGATTGAGTGCTGTACAAGAACGACAGGGCAGTCCTACAAAGCTGTCTAGATAACTTGGTGACCAAGCCTGTTAAGAAACACTGAAGTACCTTCTAATCCATTTTACATGTGTTATTTGTATGTACTACATTAGGAAAATATATAAATAAATATATGTATATGTATTGTGTACCACCTGGATGGTTTATATAAGAACAACACAGATCATTCTCCAAAAAGAAGGGACAGCTTTGGCTCTTAAAACAGGCAGTTTAATGACAGGCAGCTTAACTGCAAATTCTGCTGCTATATCATGTCTCTGGTGCTTCCTTTGGATGGATCAATGAAGGAAGTAGGTGAGACTAGGGAAGCTATTTAAAAATATGAGCTAGTCGAAGTGTTGGGAGTGAAACTGATTCCAGAGTAGAGACGTAACAGTTTGTGTCCTCATTTTAAAGGGGATGTTGAAAAACTTGAAAGCGTGAAGAAAAGCTCTACTAGCGTTATCTGAAGGCTGGAAAACATACAGTCCAACTGGAGACATTAAAAGATCGATCTGGATTCCTCATAATACAGAAGACTGAGAAGAGTCTTGCTTTCAGGGTGTGGGAACCTGGAATACACATAAAATATTGTAATTTTTTTTTTTTAAAGCTAATTAATTCAGTGAAAATATAAAAACAGGCAGTGGCTGGAAGCAAGTGAGCAGTAAGGCACACTGTCACAAAACAAAACCAAACCAGGTAGAGTGTTTAAGCCACTGAAAAAAATATTAGGGGCTTGATGGATATGCTGTCTCTTGAGGTATTTAAATCTAAGCCCAGAGCCTTTTTGGAAGATGTGTTATCTTTAAATACAAAAGACTTCCTGAAACATACTTTTCTGTTAACAATCCAAAGCTCATATATGCATAGCCCACACCCTGCATGCAACCAACATCACTTTTCAGTAAATCGAGCTTCCAGAAGCCATAAACCAGAAGTGCTTTGATCAGGGTATACTCCTCTAATTTTATTTGTTTACTGTCAATAAGATTGAAACTCTTAAATCACTTGGATGATTTGTCAAGTTTCACAGCCATGGATTATATTCCTGCCCTCCCTATAAAATGCCAAGGAGAGAATAAATACTCCAGACTAGAAGCTGGAGTGAGCAGTCAGCTAAGCAAGTCAGACCTTGAAAAGAAAGAGGAAGCTTGAGCTCTCCTGAGAGACAACTTAATTAAAATTTGAGGTGCAAAAAGATGGGGGTTTTTCAATTTTAAATTCACAGCCATGGACTTTCTTGGGGATTTAGTGACTAAACTAAGTCCTTCTCCCTGTGTGTTGGGATAGAGCAAATAAATGAGCATCATCTTTCTTCATCCATCCATATTAAGAATTCACCAGGGCAAGGATTAGAGCCTGGATCCAACATATTTTGTGTGCAGAAGAGTCAGGCTCTCTTAGGCTCATATTTTTCTAAGAATCCCTTCCCTCTTCTCCAATATTTCTCCATATTGTCTTTAGTCCTATTGGCACTAAAATAATGAAGTATTTTCAAGGAGTCTTTTTCCTGGGCTTGGTTTTTTTGGTTTTTAACTTGCTGTATGCCAACATGCAGTCAGTATTACATCCACCTTCTCTCCTTCTCCTTTTTCACTATAGTCTACTATTTCTGTAGTATGACCTTTTAAGCAAACAAATCCTGGTGGAGAATGTTTGGGAGACTATTTAATGGAGAGTATTGGTTAAAACCTTCCATTTATAATTCATATTTTATGTTTAAATAATTCTTTCCAATTCTGTTTCACTAATTATTTCTTGCCTAGGAAACTTGACTTTTAAGAACAGGTGTGTTTTTCATTGACTAGGATGGGTATCCAGTGACACAAAGTAAAAGAACTTGTACTGTAGTCACTTCAATAAAAAAAAAACTGAGCTAAGGGAGGTCTACTATCAAGTTGAGTGAATTACTTTATATGCTGCAAAATTATTACTCATAATACTGACAGACACCAAGGATATTTCTACCTATGACAGCACTGGACCCCATCTGAAGTCCCTCAGATGATTTCTTTCTCTACATTTCACAGTTAGAAGTTTGTGGTTTTCCCCTTACCTAATCAGGAGGTCAAGAGCACACAGCACTGTGTCCCATTCCCATTTTGTGCTCAAGCACTGACCTGCAAGCAGGCCAGGTTTGGTTATTCTGAGGTGTCAATAGATCTAAAGGAGGTGGGAGAGACAGAGGCCCATTGTCTGGCTGATCAGAGTTCTGTTCTTGAAACACCCTGAGGACAAGGAGCAGTAAGTCTACATGTACACCAAAAACATAACAAACCCTTCTTGGGACTCCCATTTTTTTCCTGAGAAAATTGTTTGGACTTGCTTCTGCCTGAAAATCTTAAATAATTGGCAGGAACTGTCATGAGATGTGGTATGTCTGACTCATGATGCTTTCTCTTTGGTCTGTTTCAGCCAACTATAGTCAACCTGAAATAGCATGGCTGCACACTGGGGACCTAAAGCCCAACGCATACTTGAATCTTTTCTGTTCTTCCAGCGGAGGTTATCCAGAGGCCAAGCAGATGACTTGGCTAATTTCATATGAAAACAAAACATACAGGCATATGCATCACATGGATGTCTCACAGGATGCTGTAACAAAGCTGTACAATGTCACTAGCAAGCTGAATATCACAGTTCCTACAAACACCTTCACTAATATTAGCTGCTTGCTTCACCTTGGAGAGCAGCTGGGGAGCCTCGTCTCAGTGCCACTAGGCATAGGTGAGTCTCCATTTGCCCATTCCCATTTTTGCATGGGTAGGAGGAGGGCACATTGCAGTAGAGCTGATCACAGACAGCAGCACAGTCAAGGCAGGGAATAAGCAAGTAGCAGTAGAAGTTGTTTATGTTTTATGTTCTCCACTCTGTTGACCAACAGCCACAGCCACTGCCACCAAATTCCCTCTTCTGTCCATATGGGAAGTCTTATTACAGCAACAAGAGGGCACAGAGAAGGAAGGCTATTGCTACACAATCCAGAACACAGCCCTGTTCATCCCCACCCTAGATGCTGCTGCAGTAGCAACAAAGCAACCTGGATGTCTGGATTAAGTGGCAATCAGTCTCTGGAGGTGACATTTAGGTGTTAAGAGAGGTCATGACTTCACAGAATCAGAGAACAGCTGAGGTTAGAAAAGGCAACTGGAGATCATCTAGTTCAACCACTCTGCTCAAAGCAAGGTCAACAGGTAGCACAGAGCCTTATCCAGTTGAGTTTTAAATATCTCCCAGGATAGAGGCTCCCCAGCATCTCTCAGTAAACCATTTCAGTGTTTGACTACCCTGACAGTAGAAAAGTTTTCTTCTGACGTTTAGGTGCTTGAGCTGCTATTCTTAATCATTCCCTGGAGGGAAGCAGAAGGCTAAACAGAAGAGTCCCTTGGACCAAATTTGGCTCAAAAACTGACAAATAGACTGTGCTGAGCTTAAGTGTGAAAGTCATGAAACTTTGACTAGTTTTAGAAGCATTCCTGGTGGTTTTCATAGACATTTCACAGATGTAAAAGAAGCTTGCCACTCATTCTGAAAAAAAGTTTCATGGTGCAATTTTCTTCATATAAATTTAGCTAAAGGGTTAAGTCATCAATGCTAGATACGGCAAACTGCCTCTGACGCCCTTACATTCTAGGATTTTTAAATAATATTAAAATATAACACAGAAGTCTTCTGAGGTTTGCACAGCGCTAGACATTGCTCATGAGTGTTAATATGGCTGTATTAGCTATATTAGCTGTATTAGCTATGGTGCTGCACCCTCCTCTTGCCTACTCAATTCTTCTTTCCTCCTTGGCTTTATGAAAGTAGCCACCTGATAAGTGGTGATGGTGGGTAAGAGGCTAGGAACTCCACATAAACAAAAGCTTTGTTTGCTGATACTGAAGTTCTATCAGTTGCTAACCCTAGTAACCAAAACCTCAAAAGCACAATAACCAGAAATAGAGGGAAACTCCTTTGCCTTCCCGGCTACTTTCACATTCCTTATGGCATTTCATTAGGCTTTGACCATCATCTCCAACAGATACCAAGTAGTAACACATCTCAGGTTCTTCAAACTTGCACAGTAGCAGCCTCGTAGACTCTTGTATTAATCAAGCTGCTGATCTGTAACATGTTACCCAAATTTCAGAAAGAGTACTTTGCCTGACTGTGTTGAAGTGGCTATTAAGGCTTGGTAGTTACGCTGCTTACTGGGAATGGAAATAAAGCAATGTGGATAGTGATTTATTGACATTATTAAAGCACTGTAAATGCAAAAGATGCTGATGGCCTTTCCCTAAACTTCTAATTCACATAACTTCAGGATAGATTGTTTAAACTAATTGTTACAAATTAAATCTTTGCTGTGTATAACTCCTCTGTTTTCTTATTCAGAGATACAGGGGGAAGAAATGGAGCAAGTGAAGATAAATTTCTTTGGCCCACTTATAGCTGTGATTATACTGATTACACTTTTTCTGGGTTTTGTGATATTGAAGAAGAACAGAAATATCTCATCTACCAACCAGAGTAAGTTATTACTTCTCAGCTTCAGCTCCACTGGCCCTCAAGTCACAGGCTTTGCTCTTTGTAATCATCCCTTTACCTACATTCAAGCTGCTGACAGAAAGTTAGGTTTCATGCTGTACTGAAGCTAAACTTCTTAGGACAATTTAGTTCCTGCAACAACTTAGTCCATCCAGCAGTAGGTCAAAACATCTTTCTCCTGTCTTGTCTTGGCATCCACTTCTCCCTCTTCTTTGTGCTCTGTGAGACTGCCATGGCACTAGCTTACCACTTTTTCCTGCAGTTTTATCTTCCTGGCCCCCTCCCCGCCACCCAGGATCCAAGGCTTGCTCCACCACAGGCTGCTCAACACTGGACTGGAAGAATCATCTTGTACTAGGAACAGAATTCAATCTTTGCATTGCATTTCTCTATTTTGTTCCAAGACTAGGTCTCAGGAGTCCAGGGCTTATTCTGCACTGAAAGGATCCTCATCCTGACCTCAAAGTCTATCCTTTCTTGTAGCAAAAGGGAAATGCATTCCTCACAGCCAGTCCTGTTTCCTTACACAGCCAAGGGTCCTGAGCCCCACCTCATTCTTTGTCCAAATCCTAAGAGAACCAGACATTTACTATCAACTCTTTTTAGCTCCTATTTCTCACATCTCTGTAAATCACATATTCATCTATTTTAGGTATCAGTCTAGCAGTCTAGAAGCTACCCAGCTTGAAACCGAGGTCATCAGCCAGACTGCTGACTGGGAATAATCTCTGCACATAGCAAGGCCTGAGGTCCAATATTCTTAGATGCTCTGCCAGAACAAGAATCCTTCCCAGATACCCTGCAGAACAACATGCAACAGTTTTGTCTGATGGCTGAAATCCACCGTCCAGTATTCTCTGCTTTTATTTTTGCTCCAGAATGGTAGTAAATATGATGCTCTGCCTGTCTGCATGACTATCTTTTTGCTGTATCTTTGATTACACACTGTGATATTGTAAAATCCTGACAATCAATGAAGAAAGCAGAGCTGCATGTGTTACAGAAGGGAATGTCTCAAAAATAGAAGGAGTTAGGCCACAATCTGTGAATCATAACCATCACTGGAAACATGATCAGAGGCAGGCTATTAATCATGAACCATAAATGCTTTTGGCAGAGCCAGTGTGGCTTTGTACCAGTATCTTTCTTGTAAAGTTTCACAGCAGAAAGAGGAAGTTCAGGGCACTTCCCCACCTTCTGAGAAAAGTTGCACAATTCCTACCAGGCATTTGAAAGTAGAAATCACCTAAAGGAAAAACTCACTTTAAACATAATTTCTGGTTATCTTAACTTTTTTTTTTTTTTTTTTTTTTTTTTTTTTTTTAACTACCATCCAAGCTTAACATGCTCAGACAGTACCTCCACACTTTGTTCTTCTATATTCTGACCAGATGCTGTAATAGTTGTTCAGGTAGATACAGGGATAGAAAATGAAACCATGAGGTATCACTCACATGTGTATAAATCTAAATATACAAAATTAAGCTAAGCAGATAACGAAAAAATGTTAAGTAGGTCATGTTCCAATTGACTGTTCTCCCTTTCTTAATTTTGCTTCAAACCTTGAAGGTAGAGCAATCTGTACACTATAGTATGCTCAGCTACAGGAAGTAGTTTTACCTTTTACGAAAGATTCTCCATTTCATTCAAAATGTGCCAGTTCTCCAGTCTTGAACTATCTCTGCATTTTGTATTCTTCAAAAGCATTGTCATCGTTCAGGATGGAGAATGCAGCAGAAGTGAGTCAAAATTCTGAGGTCTTGACTGTGTTTGTAGATCTGACATTTTCAGCAAGAGCAGGGATATTAGCATCACATTCTCAAGACAAATTTCAGCTCAGAGTTGCAGTCTGGTGACATAAAATCTCTACGGTTTCTGCTGGGTACAAATATTCTTTTCTGTTAAATGATGTTGTGATTTGCTAGATTCCACCTCAATTTTTACTTCATTTTCATGTGTTTGAGAGAATGTGCATGTCCTTTGGAGTTAGCTAAACCATGTGGGAGTCAGTTTATTAAGCTATTACACTAACATTCAAAATATTTCATTCAGATTAATATCATTCAACTTTTATTAAAAGTTAAAAAATAAAAAGGTTTTATTTTTTATGCAAATGTTTATATTTGCTAGCAAACTTATTTAATGACTTATTAAAACATACATCTTTTTCTGTGTTGGTGTTTTAATCTCCCGCCATTAAAGCAGCACACTGGAGAATACACACATTTGGTGTTCTCAGGGAGGAAACACTCCCAGAATTATTTCTTGGAAGCAAACAAATAAAAGAGGTATTGCTGCAATGACCAAGAATGGCACAATTGAAGGTTTCATATGTTCATTCATGGAGCTGGATAGATGTGCACATACCTCCTTGATTTGTTGACCTATACACCTCAAAGATTAGATACAAAATTCCAGTCTGAAAATTTGGCCTTTTGATTCTATGCTGCAGATTGTCAAATGTATTTCCAGTGGATCACACGATCTTCTCTAACTCTTGATTAATATTTGGTTCCTTAGATAAAGCATGTATGAAATTATCAGGTATACTAAATAAGGTAGGTACTCACTAGATTTGTGTTACCTCTCTTGCTTTTTTAACACATTCTGTAATTCAGTTCATTTTTTTCAACATTTTCCCTTCCCACTGAAGTCATCCACCTCAAATCCTCACTAACATTGAGGTCATCAGAACAACAGCTAAACCCTACAAGCCCAGTGGGCCTTCTGTCTTCCATATGACTAGATTCACACATGTACACATACACTCTTGAACTCATAGTGTTGCAACAATCTTGCTAGTCCCTAAATCCTGATGTGTTGCTTATCTGGTCAGCTTGATGCACTAAGGGAAAAAATCGTCACCAACCTTTCATGTTTGTTCATAGAAGAAAAACAATAATGGATAAGATATCTGGAAATCTACGCTACAACCCAAGAGTCCTTCTCTAGCACATTCACTTAGCACAAAAAAAATAATTCTGAGCACTTGGAAATTCAACAATGTGTTGGGTTTGGGGGGGGCTGTGGTTGGTAGTGGGGGAAGGGCCACCTTGTGAGAGCAAAAAGCTCCCCTTGCTCCAAGGCAGAGACCCCCCAGCCCAGGATGGGCCAATGAGCACTAGAGAAATTCGCCTCTGCGAATCCATATTTGTGAGGGGAAGGACTGTCCTGAAA